TACTGATCCACAGACACTCTGTCCCCAGTGATACCCCAGTACTGATCCACAGACACTCTCCATGATGAGAGCTGATCCATGCTACTGAAAGATACCCCAAATCACTTTCTGTCGCCTCTGCGTCTGGTGGTCCTGGGATTTAAGGCTCTGCAGGAATCTACTCGTTAGTTCAAGTGGCCTGCGGACGTTCGCGCCCGAGCCTAGAGACCTCCCCCAGGAGGGGGCGCCGGTCCATTACAGGGTTCCCCCAGCAGTGCTCGAGCTCACAGCCCAGGGGCGACAGCGGAGACGTTGCCGGAGCCCGCCCCCGTGTGTCGGGGTGCTGCGTCAGTGTGTACCCCGGAGGTGGTGACGCTGATCTCCCTGTGTTTTGCAGTCGGTAGAGATGAGGCAGATGGGGCGCGACGTGCTCTCCGACACTGAGCGCCGCCCCCCAGTGGAAGGGCACGGGAGGGCAGCTTCCATGCCGCGACTTCCTGCAGACAACCAAGTGAGCACCTTCATCCTCTCGCACCCGCATCCCTCCTCCTCCTCCTCCTCCTCCTCCCCAGCTCGCGCTATCTGATCTGCCCTTCAGAAGGTCCGGGTCGCGCAGTGGAGATGGAGAGAGGGCCGCCCCGTATCGGGGTTCAGAGGCCACCCCAGGTTTGTTCTCCAAGTCCGCTCCTCGAACCCCTGTCCCTCTGTCCCACCCCAGGAACTTCTCCCTATCGGTCTGTGTCCAGCTTCCCCCCCGCCCCCCCCCCCGGGGCCCCCCCCCCCGCCCTCTGTCCGTCAGTCTCCTCTGCTGATGTGCTGGTTTAGCCCCACTGGGAAACAACAGGGTCAGTTACACGACTGTGTATGTCGCTTAAGCCACTCCTATTTGGCATTTTAGTTATGGAGGCGAGAAGACGCCCCCCCCCCCCCCCCGGGGTCCCCCCTTCGCGTTACCGGGACCCGGTCGGGTCGCCCCGAGGTGCTCAGGTGTGCTGAAGGCAGACCGGATAGCCCTTCTGTCTGCGGCAGAGCTCTTCCTCTTCCTCCTCCTCATCGACCTCAGGATCTCATCGCCTGTGTGTTATAGCTGTTGTTCACCCATGGCCATCGCTCGAGCGCGCTCTCTCTCTCACCCTCCAGTGGGCGCCAGTGCACCCCTCGAACCGTGCACCTACACAACATGTGGAAGCTCTCTCCTCTCCTCTCCTCTCCTCCCCTCCCCTCTCCTCCTCTCCTCCCCTCCCCTCTCCTGCTCTCTCCCCTCCCCTCTCCTCTCCTCCTGTCTCCTCCTCTCTCTCCTCCCTTCTCTTCTCCGTCCCCTCCTCCTTTCTCTCCTCTCCTCTCCTCCCCTCTCTCCTCTCTCTTTTCCTCTTTACTCTCTCCTCTCCTCCTTTTTCTCCTCTCCTCCCCGCTCCTCTTCTCTCTACTCTCCTCTTTCCCCTCCTCTCTCCCCTCTCCTCCTCTCCTCCTGAGCTCCTCTGCGCCCCTAGCTTGGCTCCTCACAGGTGAAGGTCTTTGTTTCAAGCTGTCCTGCTCTTACCTCACACACCTGGTTTCCATCTGCTGCTCCGGCCCCAGAAATTAGTACCTGTCACAGCAGAGGTCACGTGACCTTACAAGTGTGTGAGTGTGCACAGACAGGCGAGTGAGTGTGTGAGTGTGTGCACAGACAGGGGAGTAAGAGAGTGTGTGAGTGTGCACACAGACAG